TTTCATGATTAGCCTCTCATCATCCCTATATACTTTCATCTGATTATTCTCTAACTTCATATTGAAGCCTTTTGCAAGTAATTGACCTACACTTATAAAGTTACTTGTCATCAAAGGTACATACATAACTTCAGTGATAGTAGCCTTTCGACCATCCTTCCTGATAATTGAAATGTCTCCTTTACCACCTGATTTGATATGCCTTCCATCTGCAAACTTTATCACCTTTTTGACTGACTCATCTAACTTGGTAAAACCAGTTTTTATTGTCAGTCATGTGGTTGCTACATCCTGAATCTAGATACCACATGTTGTTTTTTTTCAGTGTTTGATTGAGTGTTCACCAACAACAACACATCACCAGAATCACTACTTTTAGTTCGTGCATATTGAGCTTCATAACTATCTTTCGACCATGCAGCTTTCTTGCTTCGATAATCTCTAGCATAGTGGCCAAAACCTTGACAATTGTAACATTGTACCCCTTTCGTGTAAACTTTCTTCCCAAAATACTTGTTGCCCACTCCTTTCAAATCAGTATTCTTGCTTGACTTCTCATCACCAGTAAGATTCTTACGCTGCTTCGATTTCTCTTTTCTGGCTTTCTAGCTCCCTTTCTGATTTTCTTTGTTGCAACCTCATTTCATGAGCCTCTAAAGAAGCTTGAAGTTCTTCCAACTTCATCTCAGATAGATTCTTGGCCTCTTCGATTGTTACAACAAAGTAATCAAAATTTGCAATTAGAGATCTTAATACCTTTTCTATTTTCTACAAATCTGTTAGCGCTTCACCACACGCCTTCATCTGGTTTGTTAGCATCACCACTCTGGAGAAATATACTGAAACAGATTCATTCTCTTTCATCTGCAATATCTCATATTGGTTTCTCAAAGTCTGCAACTTCACCTTCTTCAGTTTCTCATCTCCACCATATAAAGACTTCAGCTTTTCCCAAGCTTCTTTTGTTGTTTCTTCTTCGATTATCTTCTCAAACACATCACAATCCACACACTGGTGAATCAAGAATAGCTCATTGTCATCTTTCTTCCTCTGATCTTTGTGCGCAGCTTTCTGGGCTTCCGTAACATCTTCCTCTAGTTGTGACATTCCATCATTCACGATTTCTACAACATCTTGAAATTTGAAAATAACCTTCATTTGTGCCACCCATCTTTGATAGTTTCCACCTTTAAAAACTGGAAGATTTGCTGGAAGTTGTGTTAAGGTTGTTAATCTGTTTGCCATTAGATTCTCTCTGAATCGCAAACAAACTCTTGATACCAATTTGTTGGAACAAAGGATTCAAAAAAGATAAATATTGTGAAAAACAAGAAGAAGAAGAAGAATAAGAATAAGAAGAAGAAGAGAGAAGAAGAGAGAGAGAGAGAGAGAGAGAGAGAGGAGAGAGAGAGAGGAGAGAAGAGAGAGAGAGAGAGAGAGAGAGAGAGAGATTGCTGAGTTAGTTAGTGTAACTAACTCGTAAACTGAAATTGTTATTATTGTTACTGCAGTTATATGAATTACAAAGTAATGACCCTTTATATAGGCAACATGTCCAGGCCTAAATACAAGGTATAGCCCAAATAACAACTAACAAGAATTAACCAACTAACAATTACATTAGTTGATAAATACAAAATAACATAAAATAAAATTCTTATTAACAAATTTTTGATTTATTTATCCGATTATATTATATTATTAAATTAATTTTTATTTGATAAAAATAAATATATTAATAAAAATATGTAAACCAATTTTAATATATATATATATATATATATATATATGTATATGTATATATATATATATATATATATATATATATATATATATATATATATATATATATATATATATATATATATATATATATATATATATATATATATATTATATATATATATATATATATATATATATATATATATATATATATATATATATATATATATATATATATATATATGAAAAAATAAAGATAGCATCAAAATATTCTAAATTTATATAAAACATTTAGAATGAAATTTAACAAAAATATATGATATTTGAATTCAATTAAATTAATCTAAAATAATAATAAAAATAAGTTTATTATTTAACATTCTACTATAAAACACAATAAAATTTTATTCGTTTTGCTTGATTTCATTAATTCTCCTATCACGTTTTATTATGGTTTATTTGAAAAATTAACCTTATGTTTTAAAAAAGGGGAGCAAGAGTGTCCTACACTATAAGCATTATTTTAGATCTAAGCTATGTTTAGTATAAAAAGTTTCCTAATTAAGACAATAAGATGAAGAGAATATTTATAAAAAAAAATTACAATTTAAAGTGATTTTTTTTAATTATGAAAATGTAGGAAAAGACGTCAAAATAAAAAATGATAAATGTGAAATAAATATGTAAAATTGAAGTATTTTTTATTGTTTCATTTGTCATTTTTTACCCTCTCTAAAAATATGTTTTCATCACTTTATGGATTGAATATGTTCCACGTTAGAATGATTCACACAATAGGTAACTAATCATCAGAGTTGGCATACGATCTAATATCAAACTCTTTATTTTACGATGTATTAGTAGTATGAGAATGTAATGAGTATAATCAATTAATATGTTTCTATGAATTAAATGATGAATCATGTATTAAAATAAATACAAAAATATTATTGTGTGTTTGTCTTTCAACATACCAATTATTTTAATGTATACAATTAATTTAATTCAATTGAATTATCTTTTTATATTGATTTTTTATAGTTTATTAATATATTGTTGGACATTTATATGTAATAGACTAAAAAATGATTATTTAATTTTATATTTGAAGTTTAATTTAAATATGTAACTATAATTACAATTAAAAATTATATTTTAGAAAGACATTTGTTTTTCTATTGCAAAGTTGTTATAAGTTAAATTTAAAAGTATTATTTAACCATTTTATTTTAAGCAATGTTAAAATGAATATTAAAAATTTTCTATTGAAAATTTTTGTAGAGTGTCACATCATATTTTAATTATGTGAATTAAATATATAAAATTTAAGTACTTTTTTATTGTTTCACTTTTCATTTTTTTAACATCTCCAAAAATGTGTTGTTATCATTTTATAGAATGAATACATTCTATATTCGAACGATTCACACAATATGTAACCAATAATCACAGTTGGCATAAGATCTAAGATGAAATTCTCTATTTTACAATGTCTTAATAGTTTGAGAAGGTAATGAGTATAATAATTTAATATGTTTTTATGAGTTAGATGATGAATCATGTATTTTAAAAAATACAAAAATATTATTATGTGTTTATTTTTCATTATACCAATACTTTGAATGTATACTATTGATTTAATTCAATTGAATTTCCTTTTTTTATTAATTATTTATACTTTATTAATATTTTGTTGGATATTTATATGTAATAGTCTATAAAATAATTATTTAATTTTATATTTGAAGTTTAATTTTTAATATGTAACTATAGTTACAATTAATAATTATATCTTAGAAAGGAATTTGTTTGACTATTGCAAAGTTATAAGTCAAATTTGGAAATATTATTTAATCATTTTATTTTAAGCAAAGTTAAAATAAATATTAAAAAAAATTTATTGATAAAGTTTGAAGAGTGTCACATCATATTTTAATCAGTGTGGCATGATAGACGAAGAATTGTCAATAAAATAGTTCAAAAGATCATGAATTCAATCAAATAGTTTATTTCTTAGAATTAATATATTATAACAGATAATAAATAGATATATTTTAAGCAATGTAATACTCATTTAATTTTTAAAATTTTATTTATAAGTTTTATGGAGTAAAATATAATATTATGTATTTTGTACGAAAAAAGAAGATATACAGAAAAAAATATTGTTGAGTGTTTTTGTTTTATTATATGAATAATATTTATTCATATAATTGATTTAATTCAATTGAATTGTCTTTTTTATTTTAATTATTTATAGTTTATTAATATGTTACTAGACATTTATATTAATAAGTTAAAAAATAATTATTTAATTTTATATTTGAAGTTTTATTTTTAACATGTAACTATTATTATAATTAAGAAATATATTTTAGAAAGATATTTGTTTGTGTATTGCAAAGTTATAAGTTAAATTTGAAAGTATTATTTAAATATTTTATTTAAGCAATGTTAAAATAAATATTAAAAGTTTATTATCGATAAATTTTTAAGGGTTTCACATTATATTTTAACTAGTATGGCATGAGAGGTTGAATTGTCAATCAAATTATTTGAGAGATAGTGAATTCAATCAAATGATTTGTGTCTCCGAATTAATATATTAAAATAAATAGATATATTTTAAACAATGTTATATTCATTTTAATTTATTTTTTAGCTTAGTAAAATATTATATTATTTATTTCTACGAAAAAGATGATAAATATAAAAAATAGTAATTATTAATATATAAAAAATAAAATTAACTTGTGGAATATATAAATAAGAGTATTTTATTTTTGTAATTATGAGTTGAACGTTTCACGTTATGTTAAAATGGATATTAAAAGTTTTTATTGATAAATTTTAAAGAATGTCACATCATATTTTAATTGATGTAGCATAAAAGATTATAAATTATCAATCAAATATTTTGAAAAATGATAAATTATCAATCAAATAGTTTGTATCGCAAAATTAATATATTGTGATAGATATGATGTTTTTATGGAAACCGTTGTGTTGTGTGTTGTTTGAATATCTACCCATATCTTAAATGTGTGGGCAATGGCAACGTAGCCCCCTCACTTATAACATAACACCAATTATTTGAATTTGTTTTATCCGATTTTGAATTCATAATATTGTTGGTTGTTGGTTTAAAATAACCGTGTAGATTACCAACTTTTAGATACTAGCACCTGTTTGCAACTACATTATCTCTCAGTCACCAACCAAATTTGTAAAAATAAAATGAACGCTTGTCATTTTATTCTCTTTTGCTGTTTTAGATACTAGCACCTCAAGTTCCGTCCGCCGTCCTTCGTTTGACCAGTCATTTTCCTCCGTCTTCCACCTTCTCTTCCGGTTGTCCTCCACCCCGACCGGCCCTTTATCAAGGTAGGTTCTTTCTTGAATCTGATTTTTACTAAAATCATGATAAACTAAAATGTTCAATGTTGTTCTGTGTAAAATCAATCTGGGAAGTGATTTTATTTGTTAGAGTGTATTAACATGGTTAAGAGCAAGCTAATAGAGAAGTTGTTTGTAGCATGATTCTTGTTGGCATATGTTTATGACTGGTTTGTCAGATTCTATTTCTTTTATGGTGTAGATCATTATTTGACTGGTTTGTGTGGTTCTGGGCAAAGTACTATTGCTAAGAAGCTTTGTTGACATCCACAATTCAAAGGTAGTGACTTATTGCCTATTCTTCTTTGTTTCATATAAATGACTTATAATATAAGAAATTATATGATAAACACGGAAATAAGTTATTTAATCATATAGGATGTTAGTCCTCTAAATTATTTCATCTCATTAGACATTCAATCATAGTAAATATCCAAATTTTCATGATTTTAATAGCATAACTACAATATAAGGACGAGTTACTTCACTTTATATATATATATATATATATATATATATATATATATATATATATATATATATATATATATATATATATATATATATATAGTTAATTAGTAGAGTTTGGTTATGAGATATATACTAAATTTCTAGAAATAATCCGTTTAAATCATACAAAATATTTCTAAAAGTTTGTATTAATCTTCTTATAGTGTATATATTATTTTCCCTATTTTGTTCATGTGCATTGACACCCAAATCCATTAGCCTCTTAAATGGACTGTTTTTGTTTGTTTGTTTTTGTTAGTGAAAGAGGTAATATATTAAAATGTTTATGTATGTGTTTACGTTTAAGTTTATATTTAAGTTAATGTTTGTGTTTGTCATTTTATATATATTCAAATGATTATGGAATTTTATATTGGATTTTTGTTTATGTTTATTACAAGTTAAATGGCTACTAACGAGGATCACCCACATGATGATTCTGGACATGATGGAGATAAGCACGTTAATAAAACGGAAATGGAAATTAGACGAGGAATAACAATAATGAAGAGAATCATTCGAGATAGAGATCGTGGCATGAAGTATGATGTGCATTGGAGTCAAGAAGGCCAACTAATTGAGCCTAACGGTTCAACGTTGACGAGTTATCTTGGTTCGGTGGTAAGGAGAGAAATTCCAATAACTTGTGAAGATTGGAGATCAATAGTGTTGGACGATGCTAAAGATAAAATACGGAGTGAGATACAGGTACCATATGTGATGTTAGTTGTTTTTTATGACGATTATATCTTTAAATTACTTATACTAACGCACTTTATGTATGATTTTCGTAGAGGTCGTTCAACATTGAGGATACCAGGAGAGATTATATACTCAAATTGGCCGGAAAATTACATAGAGGGTTTAGAGATTTTTTATCAAACAAGCTTCTTAGGGATGCAGATAAAATTTTTGTTGATGCAGAGCTTCCAAATAAATATAAAGATTTGATTACACCTGAAGAATGAGAAACTTTTAAATCCAAAAGAAAAACCCATAAATTTGAGAGTTTAAGTATCGTAAATCGACAACGAGCATCAACTCCCGCATATCCATACAGAAAAGGGCGTATGGGATATGGACGCTTACAACAATCTATTGTAAATATCTATAAATTGCAAAGTATCTATAATATATGCACGCTTATATTTGATCATGTTATTTGACTTGATGTGTAGTTAATAAAGGAGAACAGTTCTGAAACATCTCTTCTAGAACATGTTTTGTAGAAGAAAGCCCGTGTGTGTAAGGATGGAGTTGTTCAAGAAAATGTTCAAGAAACTTTCAAGAGATGTGTAATTAAAACATTATTTATTTAATTACATCATTATTTTATTTATTTAATTACATCTTTATTTTATTAACATATCATTCTTTAATTATAATATTCATATGAATTTCAGGAGACTCTTTCTCAGTCTATATCTCCAGATGAAGATAATGATTGCAGGAGAATACTTAGTCGAGCATTAGATATTCATGAGTATTCTGGTCGGGTGAGGGGAAAGGGATTTGGGATCACTCCAACATCCTTGAAGAAAAAATCAAAGACAAAAGCTCCTAGCAATAAAGAACTTTAGGAAAAGTTGGAAAAGTTACAACAAGAAGTTTATGAACTGAGAAAGGAAAAAGAAATAGATCAAACTACATGTTTTAAAGATACTAGTGACAAAGTTAGTTTCAATGCTAAATTTGGACCGAATATTCCTGAGGTAATTATATACCATATTTATTAATTATATAACCATATTTATAAATTATATAACCATATTTATTAATGGTTATAGGGCATTTCCTGGTGTCAACTCTATTTGTCGTCACCGACTTATCAGATGGTTGGCAAGGGAAAAGTGTATAATACTACGGGAGAAATGCTTCACTCTAAACATCTCCCAAATGGATTTTTGAAAGTATCAGTTGATATTGTTTTAGAGGGGGTGCGTTGTTACCACTACCTGACGATGTGGCGGATACAACATTGGTGGCAGATGCAATAGGATCATTTGTTGCATGGTCGTCAAGCCTCGTTTGCGTAGATGATGAGGTATGATTAAAACCGTTTACTATTTAAATTTTTTAAGGAAATTTTACTTACATTTTGTTTACATGGTAATGTTAGACTCCAACAAAATCCATTCCAAAAGATAAGGGGATTATGCGGGAAACCGAGTCAGTTGCATCAATTGAGGTACAACATAATTATATGACATTTATGCTATGAGCAATGCTAATTTGTGATTTTGTACTTCCCCTAATTAATTATATGATAATTAGATTCATGCTAAAGAGATTGCATAACTCAGTAGGGGTAAGGCGCTTGAAATTACCAATATTTCCACACACAAAAATGTTGCTAAGAAGAATGTGGCTAGCAAAAAAACTATTGGTCAGTTCAGGTCGTGCCTTCGGACATATTTAGGAATAACAGATATTTCGGATGGTGGTACCCGCCTTATACCTATGAGTGCAGACATCTTTGGTTTTGAATACCTGGAAGCAATTCGTAGAGAGGATATGGAGCAAGTTTTTAGACATTTGGAATTAGGCCTCGGTGTTATTGGTATATACATCAGGTATACTCCGATCAACTTTGACATCATGGTCTGACTTTCGTATATAATTAGTATTTAATTTAATTTTACTCTCAAAAAAGTGATTCCAAATAAACAAGTATTTCAACACCAAACAAAATAAAATAATAAAAATGATGCAACACCAAAATTGAAGCAAAGGAGTGTACCGTGGCGCGATTGATGGGACAGGTTTGTGATCGATGAGTGGTACAAAGGGATCTTTGCAATGGTCACGGTCAACTTCTCTCTCTTCCTCTCTTTATGTGAAAAAAGCAAATACAATTCAAAATCTTCAAACACCAATTAAACAAACCAAACAAAAGTGATAATGGAAGATGGACTATTGTATAAACAACTAACTCCACAATTTCTAATTTCCATTTCCAATCAATTAAACAACATGAATCAACAATTAGTTTCACAAATGGTTTCATTCAAGCTTTAATTAATAACTCAAACAACAAAATCACAATATGTTCAATTAAATCCCAACAATGTTATTTAACGACTCAACATGTCATTACCAAACATTATTCATCATCTTATTCCATTAACTTCAACATAAATTTTAACATAAATTTCACATTTGAATTCAAAATAACCTCATCACAATCTGCATCAATTCAACGTTATCACAAACAAATTGGTATCAACATCAAGATTTCATTTGAGTTTCATACCAACTATAAAATTCAAATCATCAGAAAAAGCATGATTCTAAGCTCCCATAACAAATTAAAAGAAATACTAGAAACCCATTGTTGTACCCCAAAATTTGCCCTCTCATTTCTCAAGGATTTCTCACAAGATCTTTGGCCAGATTCTCACCATGATACAAGCTGAGTCAGGAAGAATTTCTAACACAAGAGTTATAGATCTCAATGAGATCTAAAACATTTCAGAACATATCTTCTTCTAGAAATGTTGGGATTTCAAGTTATACATCCTTGAAAGCAAGTCCATGAAACTGAAGCATTCAGCAAAATTCTGGTCACTTTCCAAAACAGGATCTGGTTACAACTTCTAGGACAGTTTTCACGTAGGTTCAGCCAGAGTTTGCAAGAGTAATTCAAAGAAAGTCTATAAAGCATGTTACAAGCTTTCTGAAAAGTCTGAGAACTCTTTCAGAACATGCTGGAGCAAGGAGATTCAAAGATCAGAATATTGGATATTTGTTCTAAGTTGCGCTGATGATGAACTGCTGATCCAGATTAAGCTATGATACATAATCTTATATTGTAGATTTTCTGTTTGATAAATCTCATCATCATTTAATGCTCACACCCAGTTTTCAGTATTTATCCAAAGGATTTCCCCACATGTGGCATAGAAGTACCATTGTTGTCCTTGAAAAGCAACCTTTTGTACAAGTGTATGTTGGGCCCATGCTTTCTTTTTGCCTCTGAGGGTACTTTTCCTTAATTCATGCTTACAAATCTAGCTTAGGCACGGCTAAAAGCTGCTAACCACCCTACTTTATGCCTTGAACCATACTTGTTTAACTTGCTTTAAGAACAAGTCAGCACCCTAGCATGATGGCTGTACTCTTGGCTTCTCCAAGTTCCAAAATCCTTGCCTATAAATTAAACTTCATTTGCAACTGTAAAGGGGTCCAAAAATTGAAAAGAAAGGCCTTGAAACCTTGCTAAAATCTCTCAAGAACTTGAAACTCCAAACACAAATACAAAACCTGCTAGTTTCTGATATTTGCATTCAAACTCCATTTTTCCTCAAGTGTTTTTCGACCAAATTATCAACACAGTTTCTAACATACATTTAGAAACAATCCCAACTTCTGTTTATAGACTGCAATTCAATCTCCACCAACTTCCATTTCAAAACACAAGAACATTTTTCCTTGGCTGATCCAGAACGCTCCAGCCATTCATAGCTCAAGTTAAAGATTGTTCCAGTTTTCTGAGAACGTGAGGAAGTTGACCAGAACATTACAGCAAGTTGAACTAGGTTTTCACTCACAGAACAATCTCCAAAAGCAAGGTAAGTTTCTTCTGACTTATATCTCATCACTTAGGCAATGATAGACTTGCATGCTCAAAAATACAATGTAGACATCCTGATTCTGACCCTGTACATATTCACAGATTTCATGTATTTTTTGCCTAAGTAGAGAAAATTTCAGTTTAGAACTTCTTGAGGAAATTAGGATTCATAATTAGGATTAGAAAAATTCATGCTTGCTTTTGATTTTTAGTTCTGATACCTTATATTTCTGAAACATGTTGAAATTTTCCATAATTGTTATGTTTGTATTTTCCATTTTTTTGTTGAGAAGTGACTAAGTTGCAAATGCTCTGACTAGCATGGAGAAGGAGATGAAATTCATCATCAGAGTTACTTTGTGATACATGTTTATGCTTTTGCTTCTAATACCGGATGTACAGCCACCCCAGTGGTAGAAACCGTGCGCATAAGACATTAGTGCTAAGGGTCCTGGGTTCTAGCCCCAGAAGCAACTTTTTTAGGTTTATTTATTGACATTTCACCCATTTATCTGTCAGACAATATTCCTAGACTAGAACTTCTAGATATCCTCACCTAACAACATTACCACCTCACTCTCTTAACAAACAGAACTTCTAGGTCTCTAGTTGTACTAGAACTTCTAGACTCTCTCAAACAATCAGAACTTCTGACCTGCCAGTGATATTAGAACTTCTAGATTCCCAGCTGCACTAGAGCTTCTAGACTCCCTCAGCAATCAGAACTTCTAGGCTTTCCTTTGTTCTCAGCAACCTCAGAACTTCAGTGTACCCAGACTCATAACTTCTGACCTTCCTCATTTCTGCTAACATGTTATTTCTGATTTTGCAGCGCATCAGAGCCAGAGTTTCAGCCCCCTTACTTCTGTCTTTCCAGCAATGCGCTGATTTGATTCATTTCCTTTATTATTTTTATCATCACTTTTATTTTCATTAATCAAAACACCAAAAATATTTTTATATTTACATACTTTATTTTATCTCTTTTAAAACCAAAAGATGAACAATATTTTCTTAAGCAAACATATTTCTTTTCTTAACAAAAACAAAACAAGTCCATTTCAATTCATGTACATTATTTCGATATGGTTGTAATAGATAATTAGGATTTTAATTTCTTGCAATCCCCATTTGTAAATTTGTACACCCCATCCCCCTAATGATTGTAATAGCGTAGAATATATACTTTCTGCAATTTATCGCTTTCATATAAATGGTAGTAATTAGGATTTGTATGGAAAGATAAAAACAACAAGTAGACAACCCATAATCACAGATTAAATGCATGAAAATCAAACACACCGCTCACACATGCACCCCTAGGGTTAACTCCACTTGTTACCTTAAAAATGGTCATGTTATGCATGTGAGAAGTCTTAGAAAAACAATCAAAAT